AAAAATCTAGAAAAAAATTCTAACTCACAAAAAAGACCAGACTTACTAGCCTGACAGAGACTGGAGAAACCATGAGAGTTTGGCCACCGACACCCTTTTAGCTGAGTACTGAAGTCACTCTCGAGGTTCACCCTTCAGTCAAAGATTAGATAGGCCCATAAAGCAAAACCAGACTAACGGGGCACAACAGCCCAGGGACTAGGACTAGAAAGCAGGAGGGGACAGGAAAGCTGGTAATAGGGAACCCAACTTCCAGAAGGGAGAATGTTGTTGACAGCTCTTGGGGTTGTTAACCAATGTCATAAAACAATATGTGTACTGTTTAACGAGAAACTATTTGTTCTGTAAACCTTAATCTAAAGTACAATTAAAAAAAAAAGAATACGTCCATGAGTCAAAAAGTAAGTGCCTAATATTTCTTGGGAGTCCCTGTGTGGTACAAATGGTGAACATACTTGGCTGTAAACCTAAAGGTTGGAGGTTGAAATCTACTGAAATATGCTTCAATGGAAAGGCCTAGTGATCTACTTTTGAACATTAGCCATTGAAAATCATATGGAGCATATTTCTGCATTGAGATACATGAGTCAGAAGTGACTTGATGCCAACTGGTTTGGTTTTTATATGACCCATATGGTAACATCTACAGAATATCTACACCTCAATGTGAGGATAGTATTACGTGAGAAAATTGTCCAACAGTGTGATAGTAAGCAACCCTATATATGTGTGGATTATCTCTAGAATTCATAAATAAACCTTACCAGTGTATGTTTCTGAGGAGGATATCTGTGTAGCTAGTTGGCATACCACCACCTGTCTGTCAGTTTGTTCTACTGTGGAGCCTTGCATGTTGTTATGATGCTGGAAGCTATGTCACCAGCATTTTAAGTACCAGCAGGGTCACCCATGGTTTCAGTGGTGCTTCCAGAATAAGACAGACTAGGAAGAAAGGCCTGGCAATCTACTTCCAAAAATTAGCACACAAAAACCCTATGGATCACAACAGATTATTGTTTGATATACTGCTTGAAGATATGACTCTTACACTGAAAGGTGCTCAAAATATGCAGTGGCTACAATAATGGACTTGAGCATACCAATCATGAAGATACTGCAGGCCTGGGAAATGTTTCATTCTTTTGTACATGGGGTCACAATGAATCAGAGCTGACTCCACAGCAGCTAACAACAACAAAAACATATTGAGAAAAGAGGGAAATGATGAACTGAAATATTTTTACATTACAGTCGATCTCATTCTGGAAAGCAAGATACCAGGCCATAAAATCAGCCACCCAGTGTGAAAGTTAGGACATTGTTTCATGACAAACTGAAAGCAATATAGCTGAAACCTAATAAAAAATTTTGTTAGATGTTATGTCCTATATACTTATATTGTCATGAAATAATACCCTATTCTAAAATACGTACGTTAGCTCAACAATGATAAAATTTCAATGATATAAAACTTGTTTCTAATATAGCCAAGTAACATACCCAGATAAACAAGCAATGTCACATGAAAGTGTACAATTATCTTTTTATTGTTCTGAATCAGTTACAACTTGAAGAAAGGATATATATTTTGTTTTGTCAAATCTGGTTAATTAAACAAATAAGGCAGTATCAAAAGTAATAGCTTAATAATTTTTAAATCTGCATCTGGGTTAAAAGTTATTCCTTTGTCACTATAAAAATACATTTTAAATAAAACAGCTATAATACTACTTTGAAAAATTATAAAATGCAGCCACAGAAATATATTTTGTCATGTATAGTAGATGTTTAAATACATATAAAAATAAAACGTTTTAATGGATTACAATAGCTTCTACACTATTCATTTTTTTAATTAAAAAGAGAAAATAAAATGGATATTTTATTTAGGGTATTTCAAAGTTATTTTGTGTCTTTACAACTTGAAACTCAATTCTATTTTTTTTATAAGCACACAATGCATAGTACAAATACCATAATTTAACCATTGAGAGGCTTAAAAAACAAACAAAAAACAATCTTTTGTGTTGTGTAAATCAGTACTTCTGTGAATTAAAAACCAAACAAATGTAACATGATTTCCGTCAAACTTACCAAAATGTATGCTATATTAATTTTTTTCCAAAATAATACAAAGATTTAGTTCCACTCCGCCAAGAATTTATAAGTAGAAGTAGTGTTAATGTTTCAAGTCTGCTAAAATGTATATTTATGTACAAAATGCAGAAGCATATTTTAGCACAGAAATACAGAAAAAGATTATAATCCTCTAAAATTATCAACTAAATCCCAAAACTTATTAGGGACAAAGAGATTGACAGGGATGGGTAAAGTCAATAAGGTAGATGATAAGGTAAGATAATCAAGAATCTTCTTATTAACGGGATGGTGTAGAAAAATAAGGTAAGTACATAAATATAAGCTAAGGAAGGATACAAATGTTCTTCTATGAGAAGTACATCTAAAATATTTGTGGATACAAAGAGATTAAAACAGGTTGAAAGGAACAATGAATGTTTCATATAAGAAAGCACATGAAACAGACTGAAAAATGGGTAGGATTTTGGTGTATAGAAGAAAGAGGGAAAAGAGATGCATTCCAAATGGGAGGATGAGCAAGGCACAGTCTCTGAAAAGCTAGGTCTTGTTAAAGGAATGAATATAGTCAGCTTTGGTTTGCTACTTCTAGCTGCATATAGCAATTTCATAGTTAACCTGTCAGTTTATTCAAGAATTTATAAACACTTTAGTTTAAAATTTCTATAAATAAATAAAAACACAAAAGTTTCTATCAAGTCTTATGTTTGTAAGTCAAATTGTCACTTAACAAAGAATGGCTCAGTATCTGAAGATGAAGGCATTGTGTTTTAGTATTCCTATTTGTATTAATATATTACTCTAAATTAGAAATTCACCATGGTAACTGATGAAAAATATTGTAATGGTCAAAAATAAAAGTAAATTTGTATAACTAAATGGCAAATAAACTATAAAATAAATTTTGAAAACCATTGGTCTTGCTTTCTGATAAGGCCCTTTAACATTATTCACTGTAAAATAAAGAGCGTGTCACTGTGCTTAACTGTGTAAAATCAGAAGGTAGCTCAAAGTTTCTAAAATGAAATTCTCTCCAGTCCTTATTTCTCATTGGAACTTCTTAGGAATTCTGATAATTATTCAAATTATATAAGCAGGTAAGCAGTATTGTCACCATTTTCTCAGATGAAAGCAGTCCAAAGAGATTCCATTTATCCCCCAAAAAAACACATTACAATGGGTTTATTGTTTATGATGATTCTTCTGAATTTAATACCTTGGAGTTAACAGTGAATGTTGTCAATATTTTGCCATATTGCTGAATGATTAAATGGGCTATTAGGCAGGTAAAACTGGCTTTCACAAATGACTATTCAATTCCCTTACTTTTTTAAAAAATTAAACTCATGTTAGTGCTATAACTTTACCACTGTACTCTTCCTGGGATGGAAATTTCTTTTTTTTTTTTTTTACCAGCAAACTTCAAATACTTCTGACTAGCCTACAGCAATATTTTAGTCCAAGAAATTATAACTTAGAGGCTCTCGAAAAGCGAAATGCCAAAAAAAAAAAAAAAAAAAAATCTGAATATCTTCCCAAAGATGGGTGAAAAGATTGGGGGTGGGGGAGGTAGATGAAAGGCTAGATTAATAAAACTGAGTTAAAAGCATACACTAAAGTATGCATAAGAATAAATGGGAAGAGATGAGACATACTGGGAATCTTAACCAACATCATCATATTAAAACTAAGTAATAGGTATCTCACTTACATATGCATTGACATACAAGAAAGCGTTCAGCTAAGATTAAAAAAAAAACTACAATAATCTTCAGATAACACTACAATAAAATAAAATTGATTGTTTTCAATATGATTATATTATGTGTTCATTGGCAAGACGGAAGAGAGAAAGGGAAAGCGGAAAAGGGAGGCATGGAGGGAAGAAAGGGAGGAAGGAATAAGGGAGGAAGGAATAAGGGAGGAAGGAAAGAAAAAAAGGAAGGGAGGAAAGTATGGAGGGAGGGAAGGAAGGAAGGACGGTCCAAATTAAAAACCAAGCAAAACCAAGCACAGTCTGGCACTATAGTCCCTATCAGTCAAGGTGGACCCAATAAGGCATTCAATTGGTTGGAGACTGTTTCACTAGCATGCTGGGGTGGAGCTAGTACTTTTTCAGTTTGCACCATAGACAAAGTACTAAGAAAACCTTCTGAAGCAAATTATAGCAGAACAAAAGTTTTGTTTCCTGGTGAATTCCTCCCTATATACTTAGAGACTAAATGCTGATACTTGCGGCATGCAGAGCTCTTTATTTTACCCACCCAAAGAACTCCAAATTGCATCCCTTCAACTTTTGCAGATAAAGCATAAATAAACAAGATTATGACCCTGTGAATTCCTCTGTAACTCACACTATGCCTCACTCAAAGAATGAACCTACAAGGACCACTGGTTTGATCAGAAGATCTGCATGGTTAGAAAGAGAAAGCCCATGCATATCTTTTAACACATTTAGGTTCCTTCAGAATAACTGCTGTTTTTATGCAGTTCTTGGCCCTTCCTCATCCGTGTCCCAGTTTGATCAACTGTCAGTATTTGTACGTGTCTCAACAGTAGCTCTTCCCACTTGCTCTCGTATAGACATAAACAGGTAGAGGGATTCAATAAGTGAGAGACATATGTTGTACATTCTAAGTATCAATTAAAGGAACAAAGATTTGGATTAATGCAGTTACAACATAGTAGCTGTCACATACTTTATAGATTTAAAATTTCCAGTGATACAGTGATAAAAAAGATGTTAACCAAACAAAAAACCAAACTCATTGCCATCAAGTGAATTCCGACTCATAGAGATTACAGGACAGAGTAGAACCGCCCCATAGGGCTTCCAAGGAGCGGCTGGTGGATTTAAACTGCCAATGTTTCGGTTAGCAGCTACGCTCTTGACCACTGCACCACCAGGGCTCCGAAAAAGACATTACAGCACATTTTATTTTTACTTTTTCATGTGTACAGTTACAACATTTTGACTATAATATTAACAATTTTAAGTTTGTATAAATAATTTCCTATAGACAGTATGAGAAAATATAATTCCCATCAAATTATTTCTGTTATACGCCTACGTGCTCTTCACGCTGTGTTACTAATAGTTTATCGTTTGAGCTTGTAATAAAGTCATACTGGAAATGTTACATAAAAAACAAATCTTACATATTGTACTGGTTTTTATTAACTAATGAATACTTTACCATGACTTATATTTTTTCAAAAGGTAATATTTAAAATAAAGTTTCCTATTAAATTAAACAGACATTAACAACATTAAGGTAGGTCAGAAAGAAGCCACTAAAATTATGTTGACAACAGCACCACGTCCCCTACAGTTGTCTCCGAGTCCTGACTGTGGTTAGAGCTGATCCCAGTGTCTGAGTCTGTGTCATTTGTATACGCGTTAAATACTCTTTGAGTAAATGGAGGAACGTCCCCACTGCTGTTAGGAACTTCAGATTCCTTCCCTTTGTTTTCCTTTAGCGGGCATTCATCTTTGTTGTTAATGTGAAGCAAATTCAACTCCTTGGCCAGGAGCTCATATTCTTTTGCTTTCATCTGAAGCAACGAGTCACTGTATTTAATCTCTTTCTGGATGCCACTCAAGTGAGAGTGGATTTTCAAACCAGTTTTCATGCTTTTCTCCAAATCACACTTAACACTTTCTAAATTTGAACATTCCGGTTCACCTGCAGCTGCTCCTTCTGCGTCTTCATTTATCTCAAAGCAAACACTTTTCACCTCTTTTTCTATTTCAGTGGAGAGTTTATCTATGAGCATTCTGTAATATTTTAGTCGTTCTTCCAGTTGTACAATTCCATCGCTTTTGCTCAGGTCCTCCAGTATCTCGCTTTCGTTATACTGTAAGTCTAGTTTTTGTTCAACATCACTGAAACTGGGCATTAAATATGCATCCTGGACATAATTTTTTCCATTATTTTCTACCCGGTCAAGGTGGAACTTAGCTTCACATTTTTCAATTTCTAGATCCAGCTCTTTCATTCTCTTGACTTGCTGATGAATAGTATGGTCCTGGGAAATGATCAGATGAACTAATGTCTCCATGTTATCTTGATCTTGGGAAACCATGTCTTGCTTGATTTTAGCCAGTTTCCTAAAGGTTTTTCTAACTATTCTTTTTTGTTTATCTGGTGGTAATGTCTTCATGTAATTTGCTGGGCTGAGTTCCCACTGTTTTTCTGTGTTTTGCACTAACTTAGCTTCGGCTGTCCGCCACAGAGGAACTGGAAGAAAAGCGTCTGCTTTAACCAGAACAAATTGCATATTGGGTTGCTCATCTCCCCAGGCTTTCCAAAGCTTCAGGATTCTAGTTAGTGGAGGAAGAACCCGTTCTGAGCCTCTCCACTTTTCTATGATGCAGTAATCACTGGGCTTCCCCAGAAGAAATCGTTTCTCTCCAAATGTAGTCTCGTGTTCCTCAAGCAAAGCCTGGATGACATCAGCAGAGGTGGTATGTTTAGTTAACCCACAGACAATCTTTTCTGCTTGGCAAACCCAAACCACAATTTCCTTCTCTTCTGAATCCATGTCTTTAGTTGGAGATCTGAAAGAAAAACAAAGGACATATTTCTGTTATCACCTGCGTAAACTCAGAACGATGGTTTAGCATGTATACTCCTAATTTTGCTCTCCATGACAGATGCATTTTGAGGTTGAGACTACCAAAGAATCAGAAGTTTTAATGCAAGAAAATACAATTAAAAACATTATAAAGTATTTTAATTTCATTGTAGGCTCTGGAAAAAAAATTGTTAAAGACAATTGAAATTATATTAAACTACATTTAAAAGTTAGCACAATATAACTACAGTTAAAACTGCTAAAGTTAAGATAATAATCAAAGAGGAGATGAATAAGAGGAAATGGAATAAGACTATTCTTGCTGGGGCCTTAGGAATAGTGAAGGAATGTGGACGCATATGTAGGAATGGTGGGATGATATCTGAGTCACAGAGTTGAAAATAGTCCATTACAGAAAATAGTCATTTTTTCATTCAACAAATGTTTATTATGTGCCAATTATGTGTTAGACATGTTTGATGATGCTAAGGATACATCAGTGAATAAAGGTGACAAGGGCACAAACATGAGTAAGTAACTAATATAAAATCAGATAGCAGTAAATGTGATGAAAATAATTAAACTGGATGATGGGATAGAAAATGACTTGGGAGAAGGGGAGGTCTGTTTTAGTTGATTCTGACTCATAGTGACACTATAGGACAGGGTAGAACTGCCCCACAGGGTTTCCAAGGCTGTAATCTTTACGGAAGCAGACTGCCACATCTTTCTCCCATGGAGTGGCTGGTGGATTTGAACTGCTGACCTTCTGGTTAGCAGACCAGTGCTTAACCACTGCACTACCAGGGCTTCTGACATTTGAATAGGAACATAAATTGCCACAAGGAGGCAATCAGAGACCTCAGGGAAGAGTTCTCAGATGAATGAACAGAAGTGCAATGGTCATGAAGTATATTCAAGAAACAGAAAGATCATGAGGGTAGTGGAGTTGGGAATTGTTGACAGGGGAGGGGAGAGGTTAAATAATAGGTGACAAGATCAGGAAGAAAGGTAAAATCTTGTAGATCATAAGGCATTTGGATTTTTTTCCAATTTCAATGGGAGGCCGTTGGAAAGTTTCAAGCGAGGAGGAATGTGACCTGACTTACGTTTTAAAAACATCTGGTTTCTGTGTAAAGAATAGGTTGTAAAAAGCCAAAATTGGAGGCAGGAAGGTGAGCTGGAAGGCTATTGCAGCAGTCTAGGGAAGAGATGATGATTGGCTGGACTAGTGTTTTAGAGGTAGAAATATTAGGAAGTGATCAAAATTGGTATATATATATTTTTAAAAAGTACTTCACCATAATTTACTCTGTAGTTTAGAGGAGCAAGGGAAAAAAAAAAAAAAAAAACAACGGATTTCCCAAAGAAAAAAAGAAAGACACTGATAGTAAAAGAGGTAAGAAAGGTCCATAATTTCTAGGCCATTATTATAGGAGAATTTTTAAGATCATATTTTCCATCATGACTATAAATCAAGCTGTCCATGTCTTTCATGATTGCTCCTTAAAGAATGCTAAGAACAAATGATATGAAATGAATTATAATGCGGTATGATTTATGGAGCTGTAAGACCTCAAGTAAATTAGCTTGTTGTGAATGTTAAGTCACAGTCATTTATCCCCTTATTTATGTAGCACCCTCAAAGCATATGGCTCCATGAAGCACATACCAAAGAAATTTTCCCTGGCTTCTAGAATCTTTTAACAATCTATAGTGTTTACATTTTAGTAGCAACTGTGACTAATCCCATGTCATTACCTTAAGTGAACTAATTATTATATTTTGGTTATTGACTCTCCTGAGGTCATAAAGTGATTACTAAGGGTGAAAGAAAAACATCAGTGACACCAAGCAACATGAAAGATCAGATCCAGTTCTTAACAGAGTACCCAATAACATTTAAGTATTAACTGTATTAACCAAAATTTTATAATTACATAAAAAGCCATACTAAGTTGTTACTGTTCTCTATAAAATTGTTTGCATTTAATGACTCAATATCGACTAATGTGATATTTTCAAATGAATGTGATTTTTTGGCAATGTTTACAATTCATAATTTAATAATGTTAAGCAGCAAAAAAATAAGTTATACTTTAAAATAAAATTATTTTCATATCTTGATTAACAGGGAATGATATATAAATACATTCTAAGCAAAATCAAATAAAATGTCAAAGTAACTGATACTAAATACTGTCTGTGTTATGGGTATACAGTACAAATAAGACCTAAATAAATTCTTGCTTTAATATGTTTTAATCACGCATATGAAACACTCAGAATTAATGCAAATTTTTGTACACCATGTAGCTAGGATATATTTAAACTTGGATATTATGAAAAGCAGTAAGTCATACTCTGTGCATTTACTGTATGGAAAATTATAGTTAATTTCAATAAGAGCATTTTATAAATAATGCTAAAAATAAGAAAAAACTGAATACTTGTTTAAATTATCAATCTTATTGGATAATGCCAGTAGCTATTATGATAAAATTAAATACATCTTTATTTTTATGTTATTTTCAGTGTATAGGGTTAAACTTAAAAAAATCTTATTAAAAATATACAGCATTAAAGATAATAACTCTCAGTATTTAATATGTGCCAGGCACTATTCTAAGCTCTTATATATACATTAACTCATTTAATCCTCACAGTTCTGTAAGGTAGATAGTAATATTATCTGGAGGTTAAAGATGAAGAAACTGAAGCAAAGGAGGTTTTGTTTTAACACAGTCAGTGATGAAGTGTGATTTCAAATCCAAGCAAGAAAGCCAGCTTCAGAGTCTGCGGTCCTCACTAATACACTACAAAAACAAGATTACAAATTTTATAATTTAGACGTTTGGATTAAAATAGGGGAAAAAAAATCATAAAATAACTTTTTTTTTTTCTTTAAGAAGAACTTTTATCACGCAAATTAGCCTTTGATAACATTGTTGCTGTTAGGTGCCCTCTAGTTGATTCCAACTCATAGCGACCCTATGTAGAACAGAACAAAATACTGCCCCGTACTGCACCATTCTCACAATTGTTATGTTTGAGCCCATTGTTGCAGTCATTGTGTCAACCCATCTCATCCAGGGTCTTCCTCTTTTTCTCTGATCCTCTACCAAGCATGATGTCCTTCTCGAGGGACTAGTCCCTCCTGATGACATGTTCAAAGTACTTGAAACGAAGTCTTGCCACCCTTGCTTCCAAAGAGCACTCTGGCTGTATTTATTCCAAGACAGACTTGCTCATTCTTCTGGCAGCACATGGTATATTTAATATTCTTCACAAACACCATAATTCAAAGGCATCAATTCTTTGGTTTTCCTTATTCATTGTCCAGTTTTCGCATGCGTATGAGGCTACTGGAAATATGGCTTGAGTCAGGTGCACTTTAGTCCTCAAAGTGACATTTTTGCTTTTAACACTTAAAAGATGTCTTTTGCAGCAGATTTGCCCGGTGAAATATACATCATTTGATTTCCTGACTGTTGCTTCCATGGGCATTAATGGTGGATCCAAGTAAAATGAAAAACCTTGGCAGCTTCAATCTTATCTCCATTTATCATGACGTTGCTTATTGGTCTAGTTGTGAGAATTTTTGTCTTCTTTATGTTCAGGTGTAATCCATACTGAAGGTTGTGGTCTTCGATCTTCATCAGTAAGTGCTTCAAGTCCTGTTTACTTTCAGCAAGCAAGGTTGTATCATCTGCAGGTGATTAATGAGTCTTCCACCAATCCTGATGCCACATTCTTCTTCATATAGTCCAGCTTCCCAGATTATTTGCTCAGCATACAGATTGAGTAAGTATGGTGAAAGGATACAACCTTAACACACACCTTTCCTGATTTTTAAACCACGCAGTATCCCCTTGTTCTGTTTGAACAACTGCCTCTTGGTCTATGTACAGGTGCCACATAAGAACAATTTAATGCTGTGGAATTCCCATTCTTCACAATGTTATCCCTAATATGTTATGATCCACACAGTCGAATGCCTTTGCATAGTCAGTACAACACAGGTAAACATCTTTCTAGTATTCTCTGATTTCAGCCAAGATCCATTTGACATTAGCAATGATATCCATCATTCCACATCCTCTTCTGAATCTAGCTTGAATTTCTGGCAGTTTCCTGTCAATACACCGCTTTGAGAACAGTAGAACCTTAAAGAAATAAAGTTCATCATGCCCCTTAGAGCACTACTGGTCATGGAAGGTCTTTTTCCTAAAGGTTAGCCATCGTGAAAAATGTTCAGAAATGTGTTACCTTCTGTGCCTTTTTCTTATTAATCTTAATAATCTTTTCCTTTACTGTTTTCTCCTCAGTCTCTATGTCTTGCTCCCGTTTCTGACTAGGAAACATCAGAGCCAAATCTATAGCTATGGATGACATGTGACCTATAAACTCTTTAGCCCTACACTACAGCTGTGAAGAGAACTGGAAAACAGAGAGCAGGGACATAGAAGGGCCCTCCATAGTGGCCATTAGTTCTACATTATCCACCAGAGCTGAAAACTAGCAAGTATCTTGGAGAGGCCACAGTATACAAGAACTCGATCCTTCCAAAAAAAGTAAGTATATTAATTGGAGCCGGCGTCATGGAAGTGTTGGGAAAGTAGCATTATTATTATTCTATCATACAAAAGATTTCTTTTATACTAACTACCTTACTCTGTGCCAGAGACTCTCTTTGCACATTTACTTGTGTTATCTCTAGTCCTCAGGACAAACAAGAATGATATTATTTCCAAGTTGCATATGTGAAAATTAGTGCCTTTGAAACTGGACCAGTGGGTCTGTGCCCAGCGTGCAAGAAGCCAATCTCTCAGACGCTGTTTTTGGGAGGAAGAGTTTATTTTGTAAGCTAGCAAGTGGGAACTCTGAGGTATCGACCTCAGATTGAGTTCCTCAGTTTGAATGAGGAATCACATTTTATACTTATACATATTCATATAGGGGTGGAGGAAGATGGTATGCAGG